AGTCGGGGTAGAAAAAGAGGGTTCGGGAAGAAGCAACGGCAGGAGTGAAGACCTGGACAAAAGTAAAATCAGGCAAATGGAACAGGGGAGCCTTTCTTTGTTTTGTAGCAGCATCTCAGTGCCTCAAAGATGGTCTTTCAAAACAGCTGTTCCCCAACAACTACTTAGGGCTTGAAATCAAGGAAAGCATTCCCACGCCAATTCCGCACTCAAAATAGAAGCTGAAGAGACACAGAAATCTGAGGCCACTATGACAGCCCGAGTCGAAGCTTTTTATGGAACAAAGCGCTCCGTGGGCCCCGAAGGCCTCCCTCCTCCTCCTCACAACTCTGCCACTTGTTCCCCTGAGCGCCCAGTCACTTGTTTCCCTGAGCGCCCACTGCCACTTGTTCCCCTGAGCGCCTTCCGTCAGGCGGCCTGGAGGGAGCAAGGGCGAGCAGCCCTCTGGGGCCAGCGCCAGCCTCCACTTCCTCTGCACCCCTGCCAGCGTGCTCTTCCCAGGAAGGATGCGGTCCCCAAGTAATGAAAGTCGTCTCCGGCTTTTACTGAGTGCTTGCCAGGGCTAGAGCTGTGCCGAGAGCCTCGCTCAGGTGACAGCCTCTTTGGTAGGTGCTGCTCTCATCCCCATTTTACAGAGAAGGAAACTGAGGCGGAGAGCTATGGAGTCATGTGCCCACGATCACTTGGAGAGACCTGTCATCCTGCCTCACACCGCACCGGAGAATGCGAACTGAAATCTCTTGGGCATGGGACACTTGTCAAAGGCTGAGGGAGGGGAGGGGCCCGGGAGGGGGAGGGGCGAGCTGAAGGTTGAATACTTGCAAGGGGCCAGATTCTGGGCTGAGTACTCTACACAGTGAAGAAAATACAAGCAAAACCTATGTAGCAGATATACTACAATGTGAATGATTTAATGCCACGGAACCGTGCATTTATATAGGGTTAAAATGGCACATTCTATGTTATACATATTTTACCACAACAAAAACATCTATCCGGTAATACTATGTGGCAGGTTGTGCTCTGCCCGGGAGCCAGCGGCCCTGGGAGGCAGGCGGCATTTCCCATCCCCAGGGGACAATGAAGAAGTGGAAATTCCCAGAGGTTCCCAGAAGAATGGAGGAGTCCCCTTGGTCAGGGTCCCCCAGCTGGGGCCCGCTTGCAGTTCCATTCTAGTCTGCTGTAGATGGTGGTATTAGCAGTGATAGTGCGAGTTCTGTTAGTGTTAATTAGTATCATTCATTACTGATTGCATTATTAGAAGAGATATTAGTCCTAATGCTCTCAGTACTCACTACAGTGCCCCCCCTTAACCGCTGCCTGGCTTCCCACGGTTTCAGTTATCCGTGGTCAGCCGCGATCGTGCAGTAGATGATCCCTCTGACACATCATCCAAAGGTCAGTAGTACCTAACGCTGGGTCAGAACGTCTACACCAGTCACCTCCCTTCATCTCATCACGTAGGCATTTTATCATCCAATATCATCGCAAGAAGAAGGATGAGTACTGTAAAAGGAAGATATTTTTAGAGACCCTATTCTCATAGCAATATGCAGATGTTATTTTAATTGTGTTATTTTATTATTTGATTACTGTTCATCTCTTACTGTGCCTTGTTTACAAATCAAACCTTATCATACATGAGTAAGTGCAGGAAAAACAGAGTATATATAGGATGAAGTATTATCTGAGGTCTCAGGCATCCAGTGGAGATCCTAGAACGTATCCCCTGCCGATAAGGGGGACTGCTGCGCTTAGCATAGATTTAGAAGCAGCCAGTGGGGTTTTGAGTCACAACTGCGCCATCTATTAGCTGTGTGATCATGGGCAAGTTAGTTGACTTCTCTGTGCCTGCCTGCTCATTCTTAAAAGAGGGGTAATAAGAGTGCCTCTTTCACAGGATCGTCGTGTGGACTGAAATGAGATAGTTGGTCAAAAGTGCTTACAGCAGTGCCTGTAAAGCAGGCAGGAAATAAAATATGCTACTACTAAGTTCTGCTGGAGGGAAATTGTCTCAAGGGGCTGTGCAACTGGCCTGAGGCCACATAACTAATGAAAGAGGAGAGTCTCGTGCCTTTTCTGGCCACAGTGGAAGAAGGAGGATGTTCACGGGGACAGCATGGTACTTCTCGCAGCCATCAGAGGACCATGACAGAGGGATTTCTGGAAGAGATCTTAGATCAATGAAGGAAGGCTCAGATATCTTGCTGAGTAAGGAGCTCTCTGATAAATCTATAAAATTTAAAGCTATATAGACAGTCTGTCCACAAAATGCATACACGGGAAAGATGAAAACCTACAGCCAAGTTCCCAGGATTCTCAGAAACCTGAAGTTCACCCCCCATCCAGGGGAGCCCTGTGATAAGAACTCCTACCCTGGATGACCCAGCCCAAACCCCACACCCGTTTTGACTTAGAAAGAAATCTACCAGACAGGATACGGCAGCAGTTCTCACTTCTGTTTGTGATTCATTAAGTCCCTTGTGCCATACAAGAATGTAACTTCATAACAGCCTTCCGGAGAGATTAGGATTCAGGGAGACACCCTATTTTGAGAATCAGGGGTTTATAGGACTCGCCCAAGGTCACTCAGGTAAAATGAGATCAGTGCGGGACTGGCCCTGAGAAATGACCCCACCTAAGGGGTCCTGACCCCATCCCATGGTCTCTCCACCTTCACACAGCCTAAAGATACTTTCAAATGAATTAAACTTTGAAAACTTCAAAACAGCTCTGCAAAGAAAAAATTCTGCAGAGAAAAAGAAAACTAGAAGGGAATCCACCAAGATCTTAGTAGTGGGGGCTCTGAGAAAACGGGATGTAACCTTTTTGTTCCCTTTTACTTACTTTTAAATATTCTTCCAACTTTTGTGCAATAAATATGTATTCCATATGAGATCTTTGAAAGTAAATCTTCATTCAATATGTATATGTTCATATTTTGGTTTCCTGGGCAAATATTTCATTTAGAATATTAACCCACTTAATTTATACTTATCCTTGCTTTTTACTTTTAAAAAATGAGGGATGAGTTGGGGAACTGAAATGAATTTACTTGACAGTGAAGCATAACAAAGGTGGGATGGAAAACTCTAGGATTTGATTAGCAACTCCGTGAAGAAGTGCAGACGCAGACCTACAATTTTTAGACTTCTGTATTGAACTTGAAGAGACAAAGAAATTAATAGTGCAGCCTTGGATGATTCAATAAAGCATGTGTTCTCAGATCTTTGGTGCTTTTATAAGAATGCCATTAAGAAGAAGAAGGTCAGGAAGACAGAAAAATGCCTGCATCCTGGGAGTGTGATAACAAAAGAATAATGAGCGAGCCCTACGTCTGTCTAGCACTTACCAGTCCTCAAAGCCCATTTGTAATAATTAGCAATTGGAAAGAACCCAAATGGCCAACAATAGGGGAATGGCTAAATAAACAGTGGTCGATTAACTCAGATGGAATACTTCATAAAGAGAGACAATGGTGAACTCCCAGACTCCGCTGATTCTGGAAATGTCTGTGTGACCTCATGTTACCTAAGAAAAAAATGAAACACAAAGTGGTGCCTTGGGACTCCAACAAGGCATTTTCAAAACCAATCACATTAGCTTCTCAGGCAAGATGGAGAAATGAGGGCTTCATTGTTAGAGAAAAGAACGAATGTCCGATTCCAGCTCCCTCAGAAACTGGCTGAGTAGCCAGAGAGAACTTAAAGGCGATCCTCTATTTGTGTAGATAATGCATTTCTGTCTCTAAAGTTTTTCAAAAGACTGAGTTGGTAAATCAGCTTGCATGTCATGAAGAGAATTCTTTTCCCAAAGATGAAAAAAATATGTAAAATCTCTAATACGTCAAGCCTTCTTAAGATGATCTCTCTGGCTTTATTTCTAGCAATTCATATCATCTTTAATCCCACTCTTGTTTTCAGCTCAACCTGATATCTGAAGGCTTAAGTCAAGAGTTCACTTTTTTTGGCATCCCCAACCAATTTCATTTTAGTGTCAGTTTGCATTGAGTATTAAATACTAAGTCTATTGTCAACAGCATTAGAACCTAATTTTTTTCAAGGTTCCACACAAACCAGCAAACCATGAGTCAGGCATGAGGGTCTTGGCCTTGTTCTATCTGACATTTTTGTCTCTGAGATTCAGCAAAGAACAAATTCAAATAATGTAAGAACTTTTAGTACAATGCCTGACACATAATTTGTCCTCGGTAGATGGTTACTAAATTTTATTTTGGATGATAGTTTGAAGATTAATGGCAAATAATGGTGCAGACAGAATACTATCTTAAAAATAGAACAGTGTTAGCCTAGAAGAAGGTCCCTGCTAACACACACCAGGGCTCCTGGCTTTGCTCACCGTAAGATTTTTATCCCTGCATCAAGCGGTGATATAAAGGTCAGACCATCAAATCTGTGAATGGCGAAAAGCCAAGAAGGGGAGCAAATGTCTTGGCTGATGGGACAAAAATCTAGAATAATTTTGCCAAGTTCTAAGGTATGGTTTATACATACCAACATGAAAATTGATGAGGGCAATGGAAGACCTTTCACTTACATTCAAAAAGACTAATTGCCCAAAAACAGGTTGGAGAAAAAATAACTTAACTCTGGCATGTGCAGAAAGGGTTTAGGGACTCTGGCTAGCAAGAAGTCCGTCGTGAGTCAGTTACAATCTGACTCCACAGAAAGCTAATACCTACTTAGGATGAGGGGCAAGGATGCTTTGAGAGCTTTGAGGTTGGTTCTCTTAAACTTACTGTAGGGGTGCCTGAGTTAAGCATCTGACTCTTGACTTCAGCTCAGGTCATAATCTCACAGTTCATGAGATCAAGCCCCATGGTGGGCTCTGTGCTGAGTGTGGACCCTGCTTAGGATTCTCTCTCCCTCTCTCTCTCTGCCCCTCCCCTGCTTGTGCATGCACACACACGCTCTCTCTCAAAATAAATAAATAAATAGATAGATAGATAGATAGATAGATAGATATTTTTTAAAACTTACTTTAAAAAGAAAATAAGCAGGATAAGATTTGTGTTTGGAAGAGAGTGACCAGAGCAATCAACGAGAGGACTCATGGCTTCATCATCTGCAGAATATTTGAAGTACCTGGTCAAAAGAAAATGTTCTGGGGGATATAATAGCTTACTTCAAATGCTACCAGCTATAGATGAAGAATTAATATTTACTGTGTGGCCCATCAGGGTAGGATCAAATGTGAAGTGAGAAGGCTCAACCAATCAGGACTTTCCAGAAATGAATCACATTGGAAGTCTACCTTTAATGGAGGTGTTTGAACACAGACAGGAGAACTGCCAGCTGGCAAGGAGTAGGAATTCCAGAAGCATACAGCGATAAGGAGGCAGGTGCCCTTAAAAAAAACAACCTCTAACTTTGTTCCCTGTTCTGATCTTGTGTCTGTGACCATTTGAATTTAAGTATGCAGAAATAAGTGTGTGCAAGGCTAAAATTGGAAGTAAATACAGAAAGATGTGAACAACTGACAGTTTAATGTGCATTAGGTTCCTTCTTCATTTATCCAAACTCCCTTCCTCATACCATGTAAGAAATGTGCATGTGTATGTGATGTGTGTGTGTGTGCATGCAATAATAACCTAGACCAAAATATATATAAATTAGAGAAGGCCAGTTCTGAGAGCAAAAAGCAAACAGCTATATTAGAATGACGGTCACTTAGGTTCTATGCAGTCACTAAATAAACTATAAATTTGGCACTGAGCTTCCTGGTTGCCAAAGCAAAAATGGGGAAAGTCATCAGTCACATGATTCTCGAGGTTCACAAGAAGAAAATGTATTGGATCTTCAGAGCAAGCAAAATTTCTCCTGGCACTAAGTCCTGAAGAGACTAGGTCTACAGGGCCACTGATTAATGTCAAACCCAGTGTCCTTTACAAAATCCCTGCAGCAGACAGAATAATGTGCACCTTAAAGCTGTTTTTTACTGTTTTAGAGGACCAAGAGTGTGACTGAAGGGGTCAATGCAGCAGAAACAATTCTCTACGGACCTGGAAAACATGGTTTGAATTTTTTTACAGTCTGGGTAACCTAAAAATTAGTAGTATCTAAACTGTATTTTTTAAAGGGGTGGATGATGTAGATTGCAGGCTATCCTTTCTACGCATTACTTCTCTAAGCCAGTTAGAAAGTTTGAACTTACTCTCTGCGATGAGGGGCCAGTCCTCTTTAAGTTTATAAGTGTTCCCCCCTTTTTAACTCTTTTCCTTAATGCCCAGCATGTTATGCAGGGCCCCGTCTTCTACTGGGGATGTTTACTGTCCCCAAACTCTCACCTACAGCCTCTATATACAGCTCACTTCTCCTTTTGTGGTACTAGACAGCTTGTGTGACATATATCCTCCCACTGGGAACTAAATTAAGACATCAAAATCTTGTCACATCAGGCACTTAATAATTGCTAGTTGTTTGCTAGCACTGTTCATTTGGGATGAATGCAAAATTCTGATCCTGAAAGAAAGCTGCCAGTTTCCATTAACGGTAGAAGTCAATTCAAATACCCTGACTGTGGCTAAGGGTGGAAAGCTGATAGAGAAGGGGTTAATGAGATTCTACCCACACCTTGAACTAGCGTATCCTGATTCAAGGACTAGTGATCCTTCTCATCAGTGTCCTACTGAACGCTATGTATGGGTGCAGCTAAACAGGAGACTGGGGCGGGGGTGGGGGGGTGCGCAGGGCGGGGGGGAAAAAGGCATGCAATAATGACCTAGCGATTATTACTATAACTTACGTGATTGGTGCCAGCCACACCCGGTCCCTCTCTGCCACACTCTGATCGACTTTCTTTCTAATCTTAAAGTTCTCTTTCCTTTCTTTATTGATTGTCTACCTCCTCCAACTAGAATGTAAAATCTTTAAGTGCAAGGACCTTGAGTCTTTGCTATCTCCAAGGCCGAGAACAATACTTAACATTTCGTAGACACTCAATTAATACGTACCGGGCTCACTGGGTGAATAACTGAGCAACTGAAATTTACCAACTAGCTTGGTGATGGCGGTAAATCATTTTTCCTCTATGGGCTTTTGTTTCCTCCTCTTGAATTTTTTTAAATTTTTTTTTTACTTTATTTTTTGAGAGAGAGAGCAGAGCAGGGGAGGGACAGAGAGAGGGGGACAGGCTCTGAAGTAGGCTCTATGCTGACAGGCTGACAGCAGCAAGCCCAGTGCAGGACTCAAACCCACGAACCATGAGATCATGACCTGAGCCAAACTCAGATGTTCAACTGACCGAGCCACGCAGGCGCCCCCTGTTTCCTCCTCTTTAAAGAAGGGGTTTGGGCCAGTGTGTCTGAGATTGGCAGCTGCACACTAACACGTGTTCTCTCTTCTTCTGTGTCCTCTCATAGGGGACCTAACTGAGCACGTGGCTACCCAGAAGTTGGGTGGCCATGTGGCTAAGCTCCTGCCACTGGAATGTGGATGGAAGTGATGTGTGCATTCTGTGCTGTAGCTTTTAAGGCAATAGAGGTGCCTCCTCCATATTCTCTTTTCTCCTTTCCTGCCAACTGCAAACTGTGCATAACAGCCCCCCACCCTGCATGAGTGCGGTGAGAACACCCAGGAGGATGCCAGAGCTGTCCAGCCAGACTTGGCACATGCTATCCTGGACAGAGCCCAACTACTCACCCCAAAGAGAAAAATGAGTCATTGCATTTGGGGGTCTCTTTGCCAAAGCAACTTAACACCCCCCAGTGAGTACAGCCAGATAATCTCTGAAGACCCACTCCTGCTCAGAAGAGCTTGATTGGTGACTGATGTCATCGCATCTAATCACTTGCTGCATTTAAGAAAGCTGTATTCTCAGGGACCATCATCATGTAAAAAAGATACACTTAAAATGTGATCTTAAGATTTTTCTCTACTTACAGGAAGGTGCATTTCTTGGAGACAAAATTTAGTTTTCACCTTTGAAACAACCACCTGTACCAGCTCAGTGGAATCAGGGTCAAACACTTGGCTTCTTCATGAATCACAAGAAGTACAGTAGCAATAATCTGATAAATCGCTATGGTTTTGCATAGAGAACACTACCTGTTCCGTCACGGCTCAGAGAGGTTTCTAGCAAGTGTTCCCTCAAACTGTGGCAAGCATACCAGAAACGAGATGAGATATTGTAGGCAGGACACAAATTGTTTTTAATTTAATAGCTATGTTATTTTTTTTAAGTTTATTTATTTATTTTCAGAGGGAGGGGCAGAGAGAGAGAATCCCAAGCAGGCTCCATGATGTCAGTGCAGAGCCCAACGTGGGGCTTGATCTCACGGACCTCAAGATCATGACCTGAGCCAAAATCAAGAGGTGGTCACTTAACCAACTGAACTGCCCAGGCGCCCCTAGCTATGTGTTATTTGAATGCGTATTTAGTGCGCCTTCTATTTATGGCAAGCAACTGTGCTTCTCAACAGGGTAACATAGTTTTCCTTAAAAACTAATTTAAATAAATAAAAGATGAGTCCGTTTATAGAAAAGCACGATTAGCATAGGAAATAACAAAAATTATGATGGTGGTATGCACACAGCTGAACCAGAGAAACACAACAGTAACTAGGGGGTAGACAGAGAACACATCACAATATCCGCATCGTGGGGATGAAATCATGGCTCTCAAGTGGCATTGCTCAACCAAATCAGCAGACTAAATGATTAACTCAAGTTGAGATAACTGATAACTAGCCCTTGTAGGCACCTTTAGGTACAAAATGCTTTTTCTCGTTATCTCTCTTAGTTTCGTAATCGAATGTATTCAAATGTAAGATTGGAGCAGGTGGAAAATAACACAGAGTTCTATCTTTTGAAAGGCTGAGTATGTACCATGTTGTGTAGAGCAGTGGTAAAGGAGAGTCCTTGTGGGCTTTAACAGCCTAAGATCTATGCTCAGAATCCAGGTCTGTCACTCCCAAACTGTGGGCCCCTGGGTCTCTCACTCAACAATTGTAGGTAAACCCTGGCTGAGAACCTGTAACGTGACAGGCAGGGATTTAGTGCTTAGGATACATCCATGAACAGACCAGCAAGCACCCTTGCCCTTGGGGAGCTTAACTGCCAATGAGGGAGACATACACTAAACACAATAAATAAGTAAATTATATAATGCACTAGAAGGCCAGAAGTGGTCTGTAAAAAATGGGGAAGCGGGGAAAAGAGGAAGGGAACTGTATGAAACAGAGGGATCATGGCAGGATTCAAGGGGAGGTGGCATTTGACAAAGACTTGAAAGAACCTGGGGCATGAGTTAAGCGAGTGTCTGGGGAAAGAAGGATCCAGCGCCGGGACTTCCTTAGCACGTTGTAAGGGCAGGAATGATGTTGAGACAGTTTTCAGGGGCCACCTCATTGCTGTCCCTTCTCCCTGGGGGATTTTATGCTGGGTATTATCCAATTTCTGAAAACCACTGATTTATATGTTTAGTTGGACGTTTAAGGTGGAGGGGTAAATCCAGCCCCTGTTTCTCCCAAGTTCAGTTCTGAACGTGTTGAGTCTGAATGGCCTACTGGACATCAAAGTAGAGACAGAGGGTTTACTAACATGCATCTTAGCTCCAAAGGGTCCGATTCAGTGGGTCTGGCGTGAGGCCCAGGTGATGTTGTTGCTGTTGGTCAGGGACCATTCCTATGATTTTTCCCCACAGTCTGGCCAATGTTCTTCTTATAAAAACATAGATCTGGGTGGCTCGGTCAGTTAAGCATCTGACTCTTGATTTCAGCTCAGGTCATGATCTCATGGTCCGCGAGATCAAGCCCCTCATCGGGCTCTGCACCAACAGTGTGGAACCTGCTTGAGATTTTCTCTCTCTCTTTCTCTCTCTCAAAACAAATAAATAAACTTGAAGGAAAGAAAGAAAGAAAGAAAGAAAGAAAGAAAGAAAGAAAGAAGAAGAAGAAGGAAGGAAGGAAGGAAGGAAGGAAGGAAGGAAGGAAGGAAGGAAAAAGAAAGAAAAAGAAGAGAGGGAGGGAGGGAGGAAGAAAAGAATGTTACTTCCCTGGTAATAACCTGAGCTAGCTGCAGAGATCTGGAATGTCTGAACCTTGCTTTCCCTTGCCAGTCTTTCTAGCCTCCCACCCCACCCTCCCCCATATCCCTGTGCAGGACCATTTGTGCAGTACCCTGCAAGCACCAGGCCCTGGGG